TCCGGCCATCGTGCACGTGCACACACCTGATTGGAATCGACATGAACAACACATCTTAAAGATGTTACGAGAAGGTGTGTAGCCGTTTTTTCTGCTGGTGGGATCTGATTCAGATGATAAAAATGAACATGCATCAGGCCGCACTGCTTTGGATCGTTACCAACCAGAACCCATCATCAGCATGGAAGCATGTCCTCTGGAATGGTGACTGAAGCATGAAGGGAGATATGAATCTTTAGCTCATCTGACACGTAAATATCTTGAAACGCCAGCTACAACAGTGCCATGCGAAGACCTGTTCTCACTTTCAGGTGACACTGTAAACAAGAAGCCGGCAGAATCATCTGCAAATTGTAACCAACCTTGTTTGTCTGAGTGATTGGCTGACCAAGAAGTAGAACTGAGTGGACTTGTAGGCTCTAAAGTTTTACATTGTTTTATTTTTTAATACATTTTTTTTTACATAATTCTACATTTGTAAATTCAACTTTAATGATCGAGATTGCACTACAGTACTTGTATGAGATAAATTGAAAAATACCATTTTTTTTGTTTTTTACAGTGCAAATATTTGTAATAACATAAATATAAAGTGAGCACTGTACTTTGTATTCTGTGTTGTAATTTAAATTAATATATTTGAAAATATAGTAAACATCCAAAAATATTTAAAATAAATGGTATTCTATTGTTAACAGCGCGATTAATCGTGATTAATTTTTTTAATCGCTTGACTGCCCTAGTTCCAAGTTACTGCCAGGGTAAAGGGCCCACCAGGTGTTGCCTTAACCATGGTCAGCAAAGCGGAGCAGAGGCAATACTCCAGGCTCTGAATCAGTCTCTCTGAACTTCCTAATCCATATTCCAGGCTGCAGGTAATTTATAGGAAGGATTTGTCAGCTGACACTATGCAAAGTGAGTTCAGCATAAACCCCCCCCCCCACACACACACACACACAGAGCTGTTTTCTGGCTGGTGTTAATCAAGTTCGAATTTGAGAAATTTTGGGAATTCTTTTCTAACCACAAGGGAATCGTTTGCAAACAAGAATTTTTCTCTCTCTACCCAATTATTTACTAATTAGTCCAGGTTTTTTGGTGTAGGGGCCAGAGTGTTTATAAGTAGAACAGGAATGTGACTGAAAGCAGTTTCATGCATTGCTCCCCACAGACCTACTGCATGCTTAGTGCAGTACAGAATTTCAGGGGTTGCATTCATACACTGCCCCTTCCCACCCCCAGCACAGGAGACAGGAATCCAGCAGCTGTCAGCTAAGAGTAATGAAATGTTACTGAATGACAAATGACTAGCAAATAAAAGCTGGAGTTAATTGTTCCTAAGGCCACCCACTGCCAGCAAAGAAACCAGAGTGAGTGTTGGTATTCTCAATGAACCAACCAAGAAATGAGACCAGAGCTAATTTAGAGGATTAAGGTGGATGTGCCTGCAGTAACTCAGAACCATTCTGCCAGTGCCAGGCTGAGGATCAAACACAAGGACTAATCTTTGCATGATGCAAACCAGCCCAACAAAGTGAAAGGATCTATAGTATCCAGAGAAGTCAGGCACTGACCATTACCTCATAAACAGGGCCCTACCAAATTCAGGGCCATGAAAAACACAACACAGACCATGAAATCTGGTCTTTTGTGTGCTTTTACTCTATATTATACAGATTTCATGGGGGAGACCAGCGTTTCTCAAATTGGGGGTCCTGACCCAAAAGGGAGTTGCGGGAGGGTCACGGTATTGTCAGCCTTATTTCTGCACTGCCTTCAGGGCTGGGTGGCCAGAGAGTGGCGCCTGTTGGCTGGGCACCCAGCTCCGAAGGCGGCACCCCACCAGCAGCAGTGCAGAAGTAAGGGTGGCAATACCATACCAGGCCACCCTTACTTCTGTGCTGCTGCTTTCAGAGCTGGGCGGCTGGAGAGCGGCAGCTGCTGACTGAGGGCCCAGCTCCGCAGGCAGCAGTGCAGAAGTAAGGGTGGAAATACCAGACCAGGCCATCCCTTCTGGCAGCAGTTCTGCCTTCAGAGCTGGGCTCCCAATCAGCAGCCACTGCTCCCCAGCTGCTCAGCTCTGAAGGCAGCGCTGCCACCAACAGCAGCACAGCAGTAAGGGCAGCGATACCCCAACCCCCTCTACAATAACCTTGAAACCACCACCACCCCCCTCCGCGCACACACACACACACACAACTCCTTTTTGGATCAGGACCCCTATAATTACAACACCATGAAATTTCAGATTTAAATAGCTAAAATAATGAAATTTACTATTTTTAAAACCCTATGACTGTGAAATTGACCAAAATGAACCATGAATTTGGTAGGGCTCTACCCATAAATGAAAAAAACATAACTAAAAACTGCATATTGTCCTGCTTCATTCTTACAGCTGCAAGGCTGGTCCTGCATAAGAACATAAGAACGGCCATCCTGGGTCAGACCAAAGGTCCATCCAGCCCAGTATCCTGTCTACCGACAGTGGCCAATGCCAGGTGCCCCAGAGGGAGTGAACCTAACAGGTAATGATCAAGTGATCTCTCTCCTGCCATCCATCTCCACCCTCTGACAAACAGAGGCTAGGGACACCATTCCTTACCCATCCTGGCTAATAGCCATTAATGAACTTAACCTCCATGAATTTATCTAGTTCTCTTTTAAACCCTGTTATAGTCCTAGCCTTCACAATCTCCCCAGGCAAGGAGTTCCACAGGTTGACTGTGTGCTGTATGAAGAAGAACTTCCTTTTATTTGTTTTAAACCTGCTGCCCATTAATTTCATTTGGTGGTCCCTAATTCTTATTTATGGGAACAAGTAAATAACTTTTCCTTATTCACTTTCTCCACACCCCTCATATTTTTATATACCTCTATCGTATCCCCCCTTAGTCTCCTCTTTTCCAAGCTGAAAAGTCCAAGCCTCTTTAATTTCTCCTCATATCGGACCCTTTCCAAACCCCTAATCATTTTAGTTGTCCTTCTCTGAACCTTTTCTAATCCCAGTATATCTTTTTTGAGGTGAGACCACATCTGTACACAGTATTCAAGATGTGGGCGTATCATCGATTTTATATAAGGGCAATAAAATACAGTATTCTCCATCTTATTCTCTATCCATTTTTTAATGATTCCTAACATCCTGTTTGCTTTTTTGACTGCCGCGGCACACTGGGTGGACGTCTTCAGAGAACTATCCACGATGACTCCAAGATCTTTTTCCTGATTAGTTGTGGCTAAATTAGCCCCCCGTCATACTGTATGTATAGTTGGGGTTATTTTTTCCAATGTGGATTACTTTACATTTATCCACATTAAATTTCATTTGCCATTTTGTTGCCCAATCACTTAGTTTTGTGAGATCTTTTTGAAGTTCTTCACAGTCTGCTTTGGTCTTAACTATCTTGAACAGTTTAGTATCATCTGCAAACTTTGCCACATCACTGTTTACCCCTTTCTCCAGATCATTTATGAATAAGTTGAATAGGATTGGTCCTAGGACTGACCCTTGGGGAACACCACTAGTTACTCCTCTCCATTCTGAAAATTTACCATTTATTCCTACCCTTTGTTCCCTGTCTTTTAACCAGTTCTCAGTCCACAAAAGAATCTTCCCTCGTATTCCATGACAACTTAATTTATGTAAGAGCCTTTGGTGAGGGACCTTGTCAAAGGCTTTCTGGAAATCTAAGTGCACTATGTCCACTGGATCCCCCTTGTCCAGGTCTGTTGACCCCTTCAAAGAACTCTAACAGATTAGTAAGACATGATTTCCCTTTACAGAAACCATGTTGATTTATGCCTAATAATTTATGTTCTTCTATGTGTCTGACAATTTTATTCTTTCCTCTATACTTTATTCTATAACTGGCCCACTGCCCTTCTCCAGTAGCAAAGTAGCACTACACACCATAAAATCGTTGTTAACTTTATCATTCTGTGAACTGTTTTGTAAGCGAGAGAGAGAAAGCCCCTTCCTTGAGTCATCTCCCTTCCCCACTGCTGTCAGCTTTCACAATATTTGGTGTTTTTCTCCAAGGCCCAACTACCATAGTCCTGTGATTGTGTGAGAATCTCAGCTTTTACTTTAAATTTCTAGCCCTTGTGGATGTGGAGAAAAAGCCAGGAAATGTGCCTAGCGTGTAACCGACCAGCTTAGAAACCAGAAGGCAAAGAAAAAGAACCCTAACGTATTATTTTTAAAAGTCTCACAATTGGGGGCGAGGGGTGGACTAATAATTTTCAGTGCTCGGGACTGGAAATGCTTCTCCCCCCGCATGGTTCTGAATGTCACTGTGCAGTTACCAGGGCACCACAGAGCATAGCTTGAGGATCACAGCACCAGGGAGCAAGTCAAACAAAACACCCATGTATGCAACTCTGCAAGTGTCTCCTGCGCTGTTCAGTCTACATTCTGTGGTGAAGGGAATGCTGAATCTCAGTGATAAAACAGCAACTCGTAGCAAGTCTCAATAGGAAGTGCCCCTATCCGGCCAGCACTGCTATACTGAATTCTGTATATAACCCTTCTCATCTGTCAGCAACGCCCAAACACCCCTCCACCCAACCCTTCCCTCCTATTCAGCCCATCGATTTCCATGACTTCACTACTGCAATCATCCCTTCCTCCCTGTTCTATCCTGCACCTTTTCTGCCTCATGGATTGTCTCCTTCTCCTTTGTTCACTCCTCCAATTGTGACCTGGCATGCCTTTGCACTTAAGATGGCAATTTGTCTAGGCCAATAGCATGTGTCACATGGCATGGCTTTGGGAGGGAGGCCCCCCTTCTAGGGAGGGAGAGAATATGGCATGGGGCTCTGCACAGCCCCTTCGGAGTGGCATGAGGGGCCCCTCCCCTCCAGAAAGATAGGTATGGCAACATGAAAACCCCCTCCAAAAGTCTCCCAGTAGCACCTTCTGCCACACAGTCTCCTCAGCTGGGCTGGTGCTGACAATGCCCACCCTACCTTCCCCCACCCCCACAAGCAGTGAATCTTGGCATTAACACCTCAGAGAGATCCATGGGTCCCTCAAATCGGTGCTACGGTTCAGGCTGGCTGTAGGCTCAGGCAGATGTCACCGTACCTGTGGCTAGCGTTTTCAAGCTTCTCTTGGCAGCCACGAGCACTAGAAATGTACTTTTATTCAAGTGAACACTGAGGCTGTGATGTAATCACATGATGCAAGAAGATGGAGCCTTAGGCACAGGCCTGTGGTACCTACGCTTTGATCCAGCCCTTGCAGCATGTGTCCAAATTGAATCAACTGTTCAGTTCATCTTGAGGGAGTGGTGTTATATGGGTACATGACACAGGCTAACCCTAGAATTCTCACACAAAGGGGCAGCATTGGTCACACTTGCTGCTGATTACTTCCGTTACATTAAAATGATAAAGTACAAATATGTTTCCATGTCAGATAACAGTCAACCTTCCTGCCAGATGATTCATTGTGTCTTTATTTGTGCAGGCACATGCTAAAGAAGGGCCTTCATTCACACTTCATGCAGGCATCTCATGAACCTACCTAACTCTGGGCCTTAAATGAGAAAGAAGACGAGAGGTCTGCTGGTTATTGCAGGAGTGATCTGGGCAGCTCTATGGCATGATCCACTCCTATGTAAGAGAAGGAGAAACATGTTTAAAAATCTTACAATCAATAGATTCATAGGCCAGAAGGGGCCATTGCTGTCATCCTGTTTGAATTCCTTTGTAACACGTGTGGCAGGTCTTTCCTTAATTCCAGTCTGGAGCATCTCTTTTAGACAAAACGCCTATCTTGCTTTAAAAATTGTCAGTGTCCAAGATTGCACCGCAGCCCTTGGTAAGATGTTCCAATACTTACTTACCCTAATTGTTCAAAATGTGTGCCTTATTTCCAGTCTAGTTTTAATTGCCAGCCATTGGATCATGTTATACCTGTGCCTGCTAGACCAAAGAAACCATTATCAAATTACTGTTCCCCATGTAGATACTTACCAACTGTGATCAAGTCATCCCTTAACCTTCTCTTTGTTAAAATGAACACATTGTGCTCTTTGTTTCTATCGCTATAAGGCATGTTTTTCAACCTTTTAATCATTCTCATGGCTCTTCTCTGAACCTGCTCAAATTTATCAACATTGTTTTTGAATGGTGGATGTCAGAACTGGATGCAGTATTCCAGCAGCAGTCACACCAGTGCCAAAAACAGAGATAATATAAGCTCCCTTGTCCTACTTGATATTCCTGTTTGTACATACAATGATCACGTTAGTCCTTTCAGCCAAAGTGTTACCCTGGGCTCTCATGCTGAGCTGAGTAACCACCATGATACCCCCGTCTTTCTCAGAGTCACTGTAAGTACGGCCTTCATTCTTTGTGCCTAGGTGAGTACAGTTACATTTAGCCACGTTAAAAAGCATATTGTTTGCTTGTGCCCAGTGTACTGAGCAGTCCAGATCGCTCTATATTAGTGACCTGTCCGCTTCCTTTTTACCACTCCCCCAATCTTTGGATCATCTGAAATGTTTACCAGTGATGATTTTATTTTTTCTTTCAGGTCATTGATAAAAATATCAAATAGCATACAGCCAAGAACTGTTCCCAGTTGGACACCAGCTCGGATGATTCTCCATTTACAGTTACATTTTGAGACCTGTCATTTAGCCAGATTTTAATCCATTTAACGTGTGCCCCGTTACTTTTGTATTGCTCTAGTTTTTTAATCAAAATGTTGTGAGGTACCAATTTAAAACTCTTACCGAAGTCATAATATATTGCAGCAACACTATTACCTTTAGCAACCAAACTTGTAATCTCATCAAAAAAAGATATCAAGTTTGTTTGACAGGATGTGTTTTCCATATACCCATGTTGATTGGGAATTATTACATTATCCTTCTATAATTCTTCATTAATTTAGTCTCATATCAGCCATTCCATTATTTTGATGGGGATCAATGTCAGATTGACAGGATTATAATTATCTAGGTTGTCTCATTTAATCTTTTTAAATACTAGTACAACATTAGCTTTCTTCTAGTCTTCTGAAGCTTCCCCTGTGTTCCAAGATTTACTGAAAATCAACATTAACTGTTTAGCTAGCTCCTTGACCAGCTCTTTGAAAACTCTTGGATGCAAGTTATCCAGACTTGCTGATTTAAGAATATCAAACTTTGGTAACTGCTGTTTAACATTCTCCTGCATTACAAGTGGAATGGAAAGTATTTCTTCATCATCATCATATATGACTACATCATCTGTTTTTTTCCCAGATACAGAACAAATATTTATTGAACATTTCTGCTTTTCCTGCATTACTGATAATTCTACCATTTCTACCTAGCAATACTAGTGTTAGGATTCTTTTTGTTCCAAATATACTTTAAAAAATCATCTTATTTTCCTGAACAATTCTGGCCGTAGATTTCTCCTTGTGTCCTTTTGCTTCTCTTATTGTTTTTTACAATTCCTCGCTTCTAATTTAAGTTCATTATGATCAATTTCCCTTTTATTCTTTTTTTTTTTTAACCAATGCAGTCTTCTTTCTTGTCTATGCCTTTTTGGAGCATTTAGTAAAATGTTCTTAAACAATTCCCAATTATCATTTACATTTTTCTGTTTAACTTCAAGTCTCTATATCACTGAACCCTTAGTACTGCCATTTCAGACACACTGCGTCTACCAGACAGACGCGGTCGCCTTTCCAGAGGGGCCACTACAGCTGAAGTCAAATGGGTGCTCAGCACCTCTGAAAAAGTAGGCCATAGTCCCAGCAAGCGCATTAAAATAGATCTGAAATTAACATGGAGACACATGCTGAACTGTCTCCCTGCTGACTTGCCTTTCTTCTTGCACCTGTGTTCTTTCTGTCTCCTATTCTGTGCACCTATTCTAACCACCCCCCTCCCACTCCACACACACACATAATTATATAAAATCTGTGATTGGGAGCTTGTCTTCATATTTGTCTATACTGTACCTAGAACATTTTTTGAACTAAATAAATAATATTTCAGCTTCTGATTGTCCGTATGCTGAATGTCTTGACAAGAGGTAATTTTGCTTGAAAAGAACTTTCATCCAGTGTACTTTATGTGACCAGATTCTACACACAGACAAAATAGAAAATGCAATTACATTTTATTACAAGGAATTTGGAAAACAGATTTTTTTAAACAAAGTTAGCTATTTTAAAGTGTTACCTGGGGCTGTATATAATGGTTTTCACTCACCAGTGTGAAATGTAATGAAAGACAGCAAAGTTTATTAAGCATGATTCAAACTGCATCTTAATTACTAGCTTCATTTTCTGAGGCAACAAGAAATAAAATGAAAAAAGAAATTAGTTTTACAAATGTTGCCATATATCTTTAGGAAAAGCCAATCAAAACCACCACCCTTAAAATTCACAGAGGGTGCATAGCTTGAGTTTCCCAATGTTTTGAGCTATTTCCTTATATGGTGGCCCATAAGAATTCCTGTCTAAAATATCTGTTGGGGGAATTAGCAGCATATGTGTCTGAGTGCAGGAGCTGCAAGGGCTGCAGATGCCTAAGAAAAGGCTTGTACATTCTTTCATGGACCAGTAGGAGTCTCGGTATAGAGAATTTGATTTTCATTTGGAAAACTGAAGCTTAGATTTTCAGGTTTTGCAGCAATGCAGAGATTCTTGTGAACTTGTTATTAGATGCTTTTCTATGGGATGTATTGTCAAATAATTTTAAAAAATAAAAATGTCAAATTATCAGATGTTTTGTTTAGGCTGGAGGTCCAGCAGTTGGGCAACTGTCACATGTCGTGTTATTCCTATTGCTCTATCTCAGGGCTTTGTCCTACCACCCATCAACATAGCATTTGGGTGCCTTCCACATAAAATTAATAGCAAGAGCAAAGTCCCTTATGGATTTCATAGAGCCTTTGGTACCTTTTTGGGGTAAGAAAACTGCTTAGGGAATGGGTTCTCTTATTATGTATTTCCTTTTTTCCCCTTTTGGTAAGGGTTTATAAGTAGAAGGAGGTGTCCATGATGGGAGTGTCACTTTTATGATGAAAAGCTTACTGCCTTATTTGACCTGCTGGCTAACAGGATCTCCTTGCCATAGCATGTGTCAATGGAAGGCCATTAAGTCCATTAATGGCTATTAGCCAGGACGGGTAAGGAATGGTGTCCCTAGCCTCTGTTTGCCAGAGGGTGGAGATGTATGGCAGGAGAGAGATCACTTGATCATTACCTGTTAGATTCACTCCCTCTGGGGCACCTGGCATTGGCCACTGTCGGTAGACAGGATATTGGGCTAGATGGACCTTTGGTCTGACCCAGTGTGGCCGTTCTTATGTTCTTCTGGAATGTGTAAAACTGTTACCACTGGAATGCTGCTTTCTGTTACTATTACCCAGGCCATAGAGACTGACAGAATCTGATTCCTGTGACATTCAAAGGGCAGTTTCTCTAAACCGCAGAAAATTATTGCATGATCTCCAGAACTGCAGCCTCACATTTGTGAGTGATGAGTTGAGAAGATGCTGTTATGTAATCCGAGGCAGCAGTGTGTATGTGAGGGAGTGAATTAAATTTGCCCAACACCTGCCTATTGTGTAGCACATCTGGGTCTAGCTCATCAGCCATACTTGACCTAGGATCTTTAACTAGCCTATACACAGTATCTTTGCCCTCTGTATGTTAATAAATAATCATGTATGCTTCTGCAGTATCTTTCATCCAAGGATATCATTTTATGAACATCAATGAAAAAAAATTCTCACCGCTCTGTGTGGAGTAACTATTATCCACGTTGCATGGATGGTGAAAGCTACAGAGAAACAAATTAACCTTCCCAAGGCTACAAAGCAATTCAGTGGTATAGTTGTGACAAGAATACAGAAACTCTACTTCAGTCCTGGCTTCACTACTATACCACACTCTCTCCCCAAAGACCACACCTCACAAGCACTAATGACAATTATACAATGGGTAAATCCTGGTGCCACTGAAGTCAAAAGGGGTCTTTCCAACTGGCTGCAGTAGAACAGAATTTCATCCTCTATTCTCTGAAGAATTTAGAAGTTTGTTGCTGAGCTCAAAAGAGGACACACCAGATGAAAATTTGCTCTTCCGAAACAAACTTTTAACAAATCTTTACCTGTTGCTACTCTGAATGTGTTGTCCTTAATAGCGAAAAGCATGGAGTTGGCTGACATAATGGTCCAAAGAAACATTGATACACTCTGTGTGCAGGAGACCAGATGGTCAGGAAATACAGCCTGAGAACTGGGTCTGGGCTGTAAGCTGTACTATGCAGGTGGCAGTGGAAAGAGAAATGCTGTAGGAGGGGTGATTTGCAATGAACTTAGTAAAAGTGTTTGGGAAATCACTAATTTAATTTAATTAATGGAGATATCCCATCTCCTAGAACTGGAAGGGACCTTGAAAGGTCATTGAGTCCAGCCCCCTGCCTTCACTAGCAGGACCAAGTACTGATTTTGCCCCAGATCCCTAAGTAGCCCCCTCAAGGATTGAACTCACAACCCTGGGTTTAGTAGGCCAATGCTCAAACCACTGAGCTATCCCTTCCCCCAAAGGGTGAATGACTGTTTAATGGTCTCCGAATACAAGGAAAGGAGTGCACGTTGTTTGTGGTATTGGTATACATCCGACAACAGAGAAAGAAGAGATCAGGCAGAGCCTGCAACATTTAGCAGATATGGCTGGACCAGAGAAATTACTGCTGATCCTGGAAGATCTCAATACTCATGGGTAGTGCCCTACCAAATTCACAGTCATGAAAAACGCATCATGGACCATGAAATCTGGTCTCCCCCTGTGAGATCTGGCCTTCTGTGTGCTTTTACCCTACACTATACAGATTTCACTGGGGGAAACCAGCGTTTCTAAAACTCGGGGTCCTGACCCAAAAGGGAGTTGCAAGGTTATTTTAGGGGGTAGGGGGGGTCACGGTATTGCCACCTTTACTTCTGCACTGCCTTCAGAGCTGGGCAGCTAGAGAGCAGCAGCTGTTGGCCGGTCACCCAGATCTGAAGGCAGCGCCTCGCCAGCAGCAGTGCAGAAGTAAGGATGGCAATACCATACCAGGGGCCACCGCTCTCCAGCTGCCCAGCTCTGAAGGCAGCACCACTGTCAGCAGCAGCGCAGAAGTAAGGGTAGTGGTACCACAACCCGCCCTACAATAACCTTCCAACCACCCCACCAACTCATTTTTAGGTCAGGACTCTTACAATTACAACACCATGAAATTTCAGATTTAAATTGCTGAAATCATGAAATATATGATTTTTAAAATCCTATGACCGTGAAATTGACCAAAATGGACCGTGAATTTGGTAGGGCCCTACTCATAGGGGTTCAACTCATTCAGGCTCTGAGCAAATACTGGGACAGTATGTGCTGGGAGTGGAGAATGCAGCAGGCGCCGCACTGCTTGACTTGCATTTAGACGATCAGTGGGTGACTGCCAACACTTGGTTTAAGAAATGAGGAAGTCATCACTACATGTACAGACCAGAGCCTGCACCTCCTCCCCACACCCCCAACCCCCAAACTCCCTTCCAGAGCATGTACCCCATCCCCACACACTCCCAGCCCCCAAACTCCCTCCCAGAGCCTGCACCCCCTCCCCACACACACCCCAGCCCTAAAACTCCATCCCAGAGCCTGCACCCCAATCCCCTCCTCCAGACCCCCTCCCCCACCCAAACTCCCTCCCAGAGCCCAGGATGGAGGTTTTTTTTTTTGGGGGGGGGGGGTGTCTGGGCGGCATGAGTGACATTGGCCCTCTGGGAGGATTTGAGGGGGTAAATCCTGGTGCCACTGAAGTCAAAAGGGGTCTTTCCAACTGGCTGCAGTAGAACAGAATTTCATCCTCTATTCTCTGAAGAATTTAGAAGTTTGTTGCTGAGCTCAAAAGAGGACACACCAGATGAAAATTTGCTCTTCCGAAACAAACTTTTAACAAATCTTTACCTGTTGCTACTCTGAATGTGTTGTCCTTAATA